TAGAGAGAGAGAGAGAGAGAGAGAGAGAGAGAGAGAGAGGTCAAAACTACAAGAATGATTGCCTAGGATTTTTTTTTCTGTTCGAGTAGTAGACTCTCAAAAAGAAGAATATGTGTATGCTGTAGAGAGAGAGAGAGCACTGATAATTTGTGTGGCGCATAGTCACTAGAGGTTGTGTAGCAGTGGGGGACCTTGTACCCTTTCATATATCCACTTGGTGCAGTTTGTGTCTCTAACTGACTCTTTAAAAGAGAGTGTGACTTCACATCCAAGGAGGCCCCTGTCAGTTTCTTATCGACTAGTCGATGAAGAAAACTCCTAGAGAGAGAAAGGCATTAGAGGATAACTCCTGGGGTATGTCAGCCACTCAAAGAATTGTGCGGAACATAGCATTTAGTTTTGAAAGAAAAATTGAAGGGGTAGTTACAGACAGGGTACCTTTCATGTATTGGAAAAGGGTAGCCTGAGCATGAGGCCCTTGCTTTCATGTTTTGGAATAGAGTAGTCTCAGCATGAGGCCCCTACTTTTGCAGATCAATTTTTGCCCAATAAATATCGAACCCACCCTAAGAAATAATTATGGAGCTTCTAAAGTTACATAAAACTGGTACGAGGTAAAACTTTCAGAATTGTATGTTGAGATGACCTTCAAGATAAAGCACTCTTGGGCTCAAAATCCTCCTTTCAAGATGGAGCACTCAAAAATAATTCTTCTTAGTCTTGTTCGCTCTAAATATAGAGAAATGAGGAGGCACCATAGTTTTTCAGTTGACGCCCAGCCTCACCAATCCACATTCCTTTCAAAGAAAATGGAAGGCTTTCAAATAAAATGCCTTGAGAGAGATGGGGCCGTGCCCTTTAAGACTTGAGAGAGATAGGGTTCAATCCTTTGACTAAGATAACTTCCATGTTTTAACTGAAACGCCATACCTCACCCTTTTATACCAACTTGGTTTTGCTCTGTGGAGCATCAACAGCAGACACACACCATCTAATATATGAAAGAGAGAGAGAGACAGAGAGGAACACTTAAGTTCCAGCAACTAAACTGAAACTGGCATGATGGGAAAGGGGATAAGGTTGTGGCAGCAGCACTTCTCATACCTCAGTTGCACGATATGGCTTCCATTCTTGTTGACCACTTCAAAAACCGCAAACCATTTCAAAATGGACCTCAGCCCTTTGTACCAACTAGCCTATTAGTACCACATTTTTTGCTAACAACCATAAAGAATCAATTAAGAATTGGGCCTAGACTTGACTGGTTAGCACTCAGCAGTTAAAGTTAGCAATGCTACATCTCAACTTCAATTCTTATCACTAAAATATCCAAAAAAAACAAAAATAACTGATTTCCATAAATTAGGTGTTCAAAGCCGCTCCATACCTAGTTTTGGTTGCCACAATTGGGCCGCATGCACACGAGTGGTAGAGAGCTTCAAAGATACTGCATTATACACACACATCAGGGACTCAAAGACCTTCCAGAAAATGGTCAATTTTTCAATGTTTTCAGAGCTCTAAAACACAGACAAGAATCAGAGGCAGTTTGCTTTACATGGATAAGAAACTATCCCACACTAGATGTCCGAGACATTAAATTGCCAAGACAAAATCTTAATACATGAAAATGATTAATCTCTCTCTCTCTCTCTCTCTCTCTCTCTCTCTCTCTACTCTACTCCTTCACCTCTCTCTACTCACTCACACTACTACACTCACTACTACTACTACTACTACTACTACTACTACAC